CTTGTCGCAAAAACCAATTGCTATGTAATTCAAAGTGTCACCAATCTTTAGATTGCACTAATAAGTAAGTACAATTTTATCATGTGTTTTGCAAATTCATTTCCCTAATAGTAATAATATTTAATACAAAAATCAAATGGTTTAAAAGTTTTTTAAATTGATTGATGATTGATTCAATCAACTAATTTGTTGATTGTTTGATTGTATTAACTTGATTCTTTAGATATTGAAAATTAAATAAATAACATTATGTTAATTTAAGTGTACAGAAACATTGCTGCTGTTCCAGCAAAAATCTTATTTTCACTTTACCAAGTGCCTAGTAGGTAATGAGCAGATTAGCTAGGTAATGTGCACATTAACGGATTTTGAGCTTTAGCGGTAACACATATATATATATTACTGCTAAAGCTCGAAAGTTGTTCATGTGTACATTACCTAGCTAATCTGCAGATTAACTAGGGTGATCTGTTAAAGTTGTAAAAATTGTTTTATATCTCAAATTATCTAGGTAATGTGCGGATTATCTAGGTAATCTGCAAATTACCTACTAGGCCCTCGGTAAAGTGAAAATAAGATCTTTGCTGGAACAACAGCAATGTTTCTGTATGCTTAAATTAACATAATGTTCTTTATTTAATTTTCGATATCTAAAGAATCAAGTTAATACAATCAAACAATCGACAAATTAGTTGATAGAATCAATCATCAACCAATTAAAAAACATACAAAAAATCAAACGGTTAAAATATTAATACAATCAGGGAAATTATTATATAGATAACCACCTATGGACTTTGAGCATCTATCTGAACTGAGGAGACCGAGACGACTTCTACGACACTCTACTTTTGGACCGGAGACGAAAAATAATAAAGTTATCATACTTTTTCTGGTGATTGTGTGGTATAATTGTGCAGTTAATGTTACCTATGGTGAGTAAAATGGCTGTTCGTCTCTGATTCCAGCTAACAGAAGAAAGGACAGTGGAGACGCACATTCTAACCTAACCTATTCTAATAAATTACCATAATTATTATCAACCAAATTATTAGAATAGGTTAGGTTAGGTTTGAATGTGTGTCCCCACTGTTTCCTTTCTTCTCTTTGCTGGAATCAGAGACGAGCTGCCATTTTACTCACCATAGGTAACATTAACCAATTGTGCTTACTTATTAGTGCAGTCTAAAGATTGGTGACACTTTGAATTTCATAGCAATTAGTTTTTGCAACAAGCACTCCTATTTGTGGCAAAGATCTTATTTTCACTTTACTGAGTGTCTAGTAGGTAATGTGTGGATTACCTAGATATTCTGCACATTATCTAGGTAATTTGAGAAATGGAACAGTTTTCACAACTTTAACGGATCACCCTAGTTAATCTGCAGATTAGCTAGGTAATGTACACATTAACGACTTTCGAGCTTTAGCGGTAACATATATACCATGCTGAGATGGATGAGAGTGCCATAGTGAGAATAATAGACATAGGCGCTGAGTCCTCTCAAGCCGGCATCATAGGTAACTGAGTACGGTTATATCCAAATTAATAAGTTCTGGAAGCCCATTATACTACCTGGATCTTTGTCTGGGTAGCATAACTGGCAATGTGACTGCAAGGTAAGCAGAAGTTGTGGGTTCAAGTCCTTTTTTCTTCCAGAACACTTTAAATTAATTATTAAAATATCAATTTAATTAGTTAAAATTAATATTGGGTTGTTCAGAAAGTTTGTAGTGATTTTTGATAGCTGATAGTTGAGACACTGATTAACATGAAAATGATTAGAATTGTACAAACCAATGAATACAGTAGAGCGTCGTTTATTCGAAAGCTGGTTATCCGAAAGCACTCCAGTCGGCAAATTTAAATTTTCGCTAGTGCTGTGGCACTGCAATCTCTGGCTATTTCTTGGGCTACTCAAATATTTTACGTTTTTGATACTAAATTAACATCTGAAGTATAATTTAATTTTGAATTGTTTTTATATTTTTCAATAAATTTATTTTGTTTGTACAAAATAAAAAAATAATTTTTAACGATATAATAGTCTTCGTTAGGCTTAACATCGATGAAAATTCAACGCGAAGCGACGCGCAACGGAGAAAAATTTCAACACGGGATAAATTAATATATTTTTTCGTACATGATTCGTTATCCGAACCACCCTAGTCCCCAATTGATTCGGATAAACGACGCTCTACTGTATTACGATAAATGACCTTGGAACGCGTCCATTACAAAAACTTAAGATTATTCAAATATTGTGTAATTTGTCTCATTGCAAAAATGGATGCAAACAACATACGTTATCGACACTTGTTCTTTTTTTCCTTTACAATAAAAAAAAATTTCAGCATTTTCGGCTGATGATGTTATTATAAACAATCACTTTTCATCACCTGTCACTAAATGCTTCAGAAAAGGGTCATTTTCATTTAGTCTTTTAAGAGAATTACAAATGGAGATACGATCCAGTAAGTTCTTTTCTGTTACGTCATGAGGTATCCAAATGCCCTAACTATTCACATATCCAAGCTTCTTTAGATGTTGAAATACAGTACTGTTTGATTACTTCACTATGTCTGCAATTTCCCGAGTTGTATAATGAGGGTTTTCATCCAATAATGCTTTGATATGGTCCTCTTCAATAACAGGAGGTATTCCTGAGTGGGGAGCATCTTTAAGATTGAAATTACCTGCTTTAAATTTTGCAAACCACTTTCGAACTTCTACAGCACTCCCACCATAGACATCACATATCTTTTTTTGCTGTTTGTACAGCATTTTTTCCTTTACGATAAAAAAAAAAGTGTCAATAATGCACGTTTGTATCCATTTTTGCAATGAGACAAATTAAACGATATTTGAATAATAACAGTTTTTTTGTAACAGATGCATCTCAAGGTCATTTATCGTAATATTCATTGGTTTGTACAATTCTAATCATTTTCACGTCAGTGTCTCAACTGTCAGCTATCAAAAATCACTACAAACTTTCCAAACAACCCAATATATAGTTTCACTACACAATAACAAGTCTTTCAATGTTCTTTATCACACTTCAAGAAATATATAAAATTATATAAAATGTAAAATTATAGTTCTGGCAATTTTATTAAATGTTAATTATAGTTATTAAATTTAGCAAGAGAACACCTAATGCCTGCGTCTAGTGCTAAATTACCTAGCATTTAATTAATAACAGTAGTAATAATATAGCTTGCTTATAATTGAGTCATTTGGCTCTTGAAAATGAAATGAATGTGAAATTAAAATCTTTGAATTATTATTTAAATTGAATATCATAAAGCAATTTGTTTTCTGTAAATAATTTATTTAATATTTTAAGTTCTTCAATATAAGTCTGCATTAATCAAATTTTTTCAGATGATGGCAATGTTAATACAAATTCAGTCCCTTTGTTGAATTCTTCATTAAGCAATGGATCAAACCAGATTAATTCTTTGTCAAACACCTCAAATTCAATCTTGACAGTGAAAACTTCAGGACATCCTCTCTCAGATTTTCTTTTACAACTGGAAGATTATACTCCAACGGTAGGTAACAGTTAAAGTGAATATTCTATAAGTGTTCTTTTAACATTTATCTAGATGCAAAAAATGTTTTCAATAAATAAAATATATGCATATGGTGCATTATTTTCACTGCACACAAGCTTTTTATAAAAATTAGATTAATTCATTGAAAAAGTGGATGTGTAAATGGTGCAGTAGTTCTGCAGCAATAAATAACATTTTCAGACAAGAATGAAATGCAAATTAAAATCAAGAACTTTGCAGATTGTGGTGACACATGATGCCAATGTCCTTATGAAAGATCCAACATCATGCAGTATTCTACCAATTAGGATACTACATGATGCCTTGCACTCATAAACACTACTATGAAATAATTATATTTTGTAGGTGAAAAGTACAAGAAACAGCATGTAGATTATTTGAGCACTTTCCAGCACAAGACCTATGGTTTTAGCAATTCTGAGCATAATACACCACTTGATGCAAACCAATGGCACTGTTGAATCACAGTCCAGGTTACTCTTGTTTCACAATGTTGAAGTTTTGGTGTACAATTAAACTAAATTCTGCTTGCTTTGTAATATCAACATTTCTAAAATCTTGTGCTTTCAAACATTTCTCATTCATCTTCAAAATCATACAAGTATATATGAAGCAACAAGGTAAATGCGACTGCAGTGGTCATAAATACATCAAATTTTGCATTGCTATTATATATTCATTTAACTATCATCTGCAATTGGCACAATATGCAAGGCACAAAGTGATTTGACAGGTGGAACAAAATGATAAATTTATTCTAGGACAAACCATAACAGTACATAGACTTATTAGGCATTTTTTTTCTAGAATGGACTGTGTAATTGTTATGACTGAAATATGCAACACTAGCTATGTTTTATACTAAATATCTGTGTAGCCTCTGGAATACAGGACTGTGGAGTCAGTAAAAAAAAAAAAAACACTTGACTCCGACTCCTGGTAATTTTAGTACGCCGACTCCAACTCCGGCAAAATTAAATACCAAGCCATTTTATGGGGGACAGAGGCACTCATAGCGGGTACTCTACTCTGAACTCTGAAAGGAGCCTGGGGTGTTTACCCAAATACTTTTATAGTTAGTATTTTTAATATTTAACTTACATTAATATTTATTTGTATAAAAAATTAATTTTATCAAATATTTAATAAGAGGAGAAAGGAGGTGATAAAATTCTACATCTTCATATATTCAACAGCATTTGCACTTCATTTCATCCTTCCAGGAGAGTTAGTCCAACTAAAAAGTGTGATTTAGCTAGCTACTTCAGCTCCTTGTTCAGAAAAGAAAAATACAGTAGAGCATCATTTATCCGAAAATCGGTTATCCAAAAAAATTCCAGTCAGCAAATTAAAATTTTCGCTAGTGCTGTGGCGCTGCAATCTTTGGCTATATCTTGGGCTACTCCAATATTTTTTTTGTGTGTTTTAGCTGGCAACACTGTTACTTTTGTGTGGTGTTTTCTGAGGACTGTGTGTCATGCTGAATCAAATGTTTTTGATACTAGATAACTTCTAAAGTATAAAATTTTTTTTGTTTTTATATTTTCCAATATATTTATTTTGTTTGTAAAAAAATAAATAATTTTTAATGATACAATAGCTACGATTATTATTTTAAAAAGTTTACATTAGGCTTAAAATCGACGCAAATTCAACACGAAGCGACACACAACGGAGAAAAATTTCAACACTAGATAGGTTAATGTATTTTTTGTACATAATCGGTTATCCGAACAATAAGTTATCTGAATAACCCCAGTCCCCAATTGATTTGGATAAACGATGCTCTACTGTATGTACTCTGATCAATTAGTCTGGCTCATTCAGAAAAATAGAGTACTTTAGAGCAGGGATAATAAAGAAATGATTCAAAAATATTCAAATTCAATTGGGTCAAAATAATTTAACTACTAAGTGCAAATGCTACAAAGAATACTACATATTTAATAAATTAAATTGATACCTTTTGTATTTAAAATAAATGAATTATAACAAATACAAAAAGATTTTAAAAAATTAATAAATATGTAATAAATTTTCTTTTATTTAAATAAAAAAAATTAAAGTAAATTTAAAATGCAGGAATCAGAGTCGACACATTTTTTCCGACTCCTCTGGCCAGAAATTCCTCTGACTTAGACTCCATAGCCCTGCTGGAATGAGTAGGTCCTTAAGTCACCCTAAGTAATGACTGTTACCTTAATGTCCTACATATAAGATAGCAGACAAATGACTTGATGATTTGTCATTGTACTAATTACTATACAATGTCAGCTGATATATTAGCTAGCTAGCTAGCTAGTAGACATGGTATCAATGACTCTGAATAATTTGACAACAAAATGAATAGGATAGTGTAACCCTGTTCTGTGGCCACTTTGTTTCCCCAGACTTGACTCTAAAGGATTTTTTTTTTTTTGGAGTCACCTAAAAGTGTCAGTTTATGATATGTACTCATCAGTGACACTTTAGGTTGGTCAAAATTTCCCTACAAAACTTTCAAAACATTTGACATGTCTGACAGGGAGCATCTTCCCATACACTAAAAGTGTTTTTTACTGTTTGTATAGTATTATATACTGTATGAAACTTAAAATGCATATTGGGCATATTACATATGCTTTTTATCTACAGACATTTCAATTTGATTTTACACAAACAAAATGTGAAGTAAAGTTTTAAAATAAGCTTCTAAACAAAGAATACAATCTCATTTAGCAGTAATGTGTTAAATTTCACAACTGTCATAATTAAACTACATATCTATATCAAAAATCACCCCCATTCTTAGCAGGAAAAAAATTGCAAATTCCAACACTTTATTTGCTGAGAAAAACATCTATGTAAAGACTGCTGTTAAAGCCACATTAATTAAAACCTCTGCTGCACGTGTGAAATTAATTTTGGCAGTCCCTTTACATGTTAAGCAAGGGATACCTATATTCTGATAGTCCCACATATGTGATATTAAATGGTTTGACTGTGTTTCCTATTTATAGTACAAAAATTCATTTATAAATGATAACATTTTTAATTTTTAGATCCCTGATGCTGTAACAGCATATTATTTAAATTCATCTGGATACGAAGGATCTGATCCAAGAATGTAAGTTTTTAAGATTTATTAAAATTCAGAAGACAGTTCATTTGATTTAATGCTTGTTAAAAAGAGAATTATTGTTTTTTTCATATTTAATATGAATTTTTATATAATAATCTTATATTGTAACTTGTTTTATTTTACCGGCTGTTATAACAGAGTATGGTGATTTTGCAAAAAATGATCCCTCCAGATTTTTACATTTTTGGACTTAGAACACCTTGAAATGTTGAAATGCAATAAAATTTTGGGGTAATTTCAATGTATGGATGTTAGTTTGTTCTTGTTTATGGGAGGCACGATTTTGTTCACTCTGTTTAAAGTTAAATGTGCTTCTTGTCAAAAATTTTTGAAATTTTGCAGGTAGGTTTGTTTATTAGAGGGATTGATGCTATTCATAATTATATTTTGATGCTTAAAGGTTGAGATGGGAAGATAAGGAGTCATGTGTATCTCCAGTAGGGTCAAACTTAATGACTATTATACTTGTTGGCATTTACAATTTTTTATAAAATTCATCCCTACCCTCAAAATTAAGATTGTTGCCATTTATAATAGTTAAAGTTGAGCAACTTGTTGCTGGTTTATCTAACACTTGTCTGAAGAAGTTATTTTATTTTGTTATTTTATTATGTTAAATTTGCATCTGTAGTTATTTTAAAGATGCATCATCAGTACTATAGATTTTATTAAAATTGTTTTCATTTCAAATATGTAAAAAATATTTTGAGTATTGAAAACTGCTTTTTTTGAAATAGCAAGCACATTAATTTTTTTTAAATTTGAGATATATTTTTAGTATTTTTAGTTGTTTTTATGTGTGATCAAATAAATAGACTTAGATTTGATGACTAGTAATAAAAAGTAACAACAGAAAAAATTTTTCTTAACTTTTTAGAAACTAAGAATTAGTTTTACTAACAGCTAATAAACTTTTAGTAAAGCTAATTCTTATAACTATGGTCTAAGGAGCATAACCATTCGTCTTACAGGAAATTTATCAAGCTTTTGATTCTTTATAGTTTACTAGTGATAGCTATGCCAGTAAGATACCTTTCTATTTCTCAGTGTGAATTTAGTTCCAGTATAGTCTATCAAACATAATAAAGGTTTTATTATTGAGCTCTCTTGTCTCACTCATGATTGCCAATCTTATTGTAGATCAGACTTACCTATTACAGACAAGATTGGGAGCATTTAGTGTTTGCTCCATAGAATCTAGTTTTCTTTTTTGTATCAACCAGTCAGTTGGTTCCTCATAAGAAACTTTTTGTATGACCATTACTCATACACATTAATTATGATTAATTGTTCATAGTAATTTATTGTAGTCAATTGATCATGGTTAATTCAATACATCATTGTATTGTAATCTGTTATATCAAATAAATTAAATTATAAATATAAAACATAAAATAATTTTTATATTACAGTAGAACCTTGATTATCCGGATTGTTCAAAATAAACAAAAATTTTACGAATTTGTTGATTTGCACTTGGTGAATTACGACACTGTTTATGTACGTGATGGAATGCATAACTTTTTTGTTTCAACAATGTCTCACCCAGCACAGTGGGCATAAACTCTTAAATATATTTTACGTAGTAATAAAAATATAACTTGACATACGTATTTATAAATAATTTATATTCAAATTACATCATTTCTATGACCAAGGGCGGCGTAAGGCATGGACGACGTGGGCCACCGCCTATGCCTCGCGGTCCGAAGGGCCTCGCGCCTCGAAGGTTTATGCATTACTTAAAAGCCGCGAACGCGACGAAAAAATTTTACTCGTCATAAAACGATAAATAGTTTGTCAAATTTTTATTCATAAAAATGCAGTTTCAACTGCTTTTTATTTTATAAAATCCGTCTTCTTGCGCCACCAGAGGGCCTTTTAAACAATAGGTAGTCTGTTAGCGCTGGTCAGTAGTAGTCTAAATTCAATACAAACATTTTTTTTGAAAATTTGATCACGATTTAAATACAGTACGTATTTATTTTTAATATTACCGATATGTCATCGAAAAGAAAACGTGTTGTATTATCATTAAAAGACAAAATATTTGTTTCGATTATCTGAATTTTTCCTTATCCGGACTAACTTCATCCCCAATTAGTCCAGATAATGGAGGTTCTACTGTATATATAATTCATACTGATAAAATATTTTCATATATTTTAATAATATAATCAGTAAATTTAAAAAAAAATAATTACCATCAGTACATTTTTTTAATGGATATATTTATTCTCAAAAAATTTCAAATTTTTTAAGACAATAAGAATGTGTGTTTATAGATTTTAAATTATTTATAAATGCCAAATCTTTTTGAAAGTATTTATTTGTAATATATAAATTTGTTATAATTATGACATTTAAAGTAATGATTGAAAACTTTAAGATCAAAAACTTTTATATTTAAAGTTTGCATTGCAACTTGAAGTTAATTTGTTTTCACTTATAAGAATGATATGATAATTATATAATTCAATTAATATATATTATAAATGACAGAAAATTTATTACAATTAATATATGACAAACTGAAGTATTGCTAATTAACTTAAATATAATTAACCAAAGACAATTTTCAATTTATTTAAATAAGGGCAGAAAACTTAAAATCTACATTTATTTTCATATATTAATTCAATTACCTGTGAATTTCAAGCTTTGAATTAATGAAATGACCCATCACAACTTTTAAATGATTATATGCAATGTCTTTTCTGCAATTTTAAAAATATTTAAATTAATGTCATAAATATTAAGGATTGGCTTTTAAGTCAATACAAAATATGTTACAGTGGTAACATTTTAAGATATTAAGATTATATAATGTTTTTAGAAGGATGTGATGATTTATTTTTAATTATATATAAAAATTTAACATTAAAATTTTTTTCTCAGAGTAAGATTAATATCACTTGCTGCTCAGAAATTCATATCTGACATAGCTAACGATGCATTACAACATTGTAAAATGCGTGGAGCAGGACAGAGCAAAAAAGCAATCAAGGTAATTAGGAAGTTTTATTAAAGAAATAAACTCATAATCAATATAATTATTGTGTTGTTAAGAAAGTAATTTTGTTTTTTCTGTGGAAAAAACACAATATTTTTATAATAAATAAATATTTTATTGAATTAGATATCAACCATTTTGGTCAAATACCTGTTGTCATCGTTTCTGGTAGTAGCATGATTTCACATTCATAGAAGTTTTGATCGTTGCTTACAAAAACTGATCCAAGTGATTTTTCACATTGTCATTTCAAGTAAATGTCTTAGTTTAAAAAATTTTGTCTAAACCAGAACAAGTAATAATCTGAGTGTGCTGGATCTGGCAAATATGGTTGGTGTGATAGCACTTCCCATCTAAGTTATAACAGTTTGACCAGTTACCAAACTTGTGTGAAATTTGACATTATCGTGGTAAACACTACACCTGTTTTGTTGATCAATTCTGGCCACCTTTTCTGTTTGATGATGATATTCAATTTGTTTACTCAATGGCAGTACACTTTCGAATCAGTTGTTAAATTATCTGGTAAAAGCTCCAAAAAAAAATTCCTTTAAACTCCCACCAAAGAGAGCATCTCTTTAAGAACACATGGAACCCATATATGAAGCTTTGAAATGAAACCAATTTGTTTCAAGTAATCATAAACAGTTCAATTCGACAAATTTTATCTCTTAGTGATTTCATGTATTGTTGTTTGGCAGTTTGCTTCAATCAGTACCTTTGTTTTGTTTTCATTGGCTTCAACTGGCCATCCAGAACGTGGTGCATCATCAATATTGAAATTGTCAGAACAAAATTTTGTAAACCAGTTTTGGCACTGTCTTTCTGTCAATACATCTTCTCCATACATGTACCACAATTTTTTTCTTGCTTGAACAGCATTTTGATTTTTTTGGTAATAAAAAAGCAAAATATGCCAAAAATGATGCTTTCGATTTTCGATATTTAATGGGACACCAAAAAAAATAAACAATTGCACAAAATCAAACAAAATTTTTTACAAATAAGCCTTAAAATGCTAGCTGTCAAAATATATAATGGTAATACGGTTTAGAATGAAAATGGCAAAAAAAATATGACTAATCTGTCTAGTGGTAAAAAAAAAACAAAATTACTTTCCGAACAACCTAATAATATACTAACTGTTTTATTTATTTGGATTTTGAAGAATGTGTGTAAAATAAATGGGCAATGATTTGATAAAAACATATATGTATATATATACAGTTTAACCTGACATCATCCATGGGACGACCAATTTTTTGACATTATAACTGAGTGTTGTTACCTGTGGTATCATATTTCAGTCCCATAAAATGTACCAAGTGTGTTTAATTAATTATAAAATCCATTTTAATTTAACATTTCTATGTATTACCATAAAATTATTTTTAATGGGAATACAGTATACTGTATTTATTATGGTAATAATAATTTATTATTGTATGTATAAAAGTGCAAACTAAATGTTTAAATCCACTTTTATTTACATTATTATGTCTAAGTTTATATTGATGTAATTAAAAATTTCAAAAATTGCCTTTTATAAGAAATTTCTATTTGTCTTAAGTTTCGATAATAGCAGCACTTCTGGTTTTGAGAATAATGTTGAATCAAAAGGCAACAAAAGATTTAACTAATGTATTGCCAATTAAAAAGACACAATAACAATATTCACTTAAAGTCAGTTATTTTAGGTTGTAGGCATTTTACACCTAAAAATGTTTTCAGCATCATGTCATTTTCTAAATCATACACTTTGTTCATTATTTCGATGAAGTTTTCTAAGACCTGTAAAACATTTTAGAGGGCTCTGACCCTAGGGACTAAGCAGGTATTATTTTCTTATCTTATTGCATTATGTGCTTCTCTGGTTGATGGCACTTCATTTTCTCTATCTGATGTTTCATCTTCATAATCATCCTCAGTTTTTTTCATCTGAAACAGATATTTGTTGGGCAAAGTAATCATCTGTATAAAATTTGGATGTTATTAAATCTTCATCTACACTCTCATATTCAGTAGCAGCAGATGATAAAAATTTTGCCATTTTCTGAACTTTGAAATGTTTTACTTAATTCTGATAGAGGAATGTTGTCGTTGTCGTCATCATTCATAAATGCAATAGTTGTTTAACTATTACAGTTTTGCACAGAAAACTAACTTTACACCAAGATTTTTCAAAAATATCAACTGCATCTAATAAAGAAATTGCCATTTTATTATCTTCCATATTTGTAATAATTTTTTGTAAAAGAATATTTTTGAAATGAGATTTAAGGCTTCCTATAATTCCTTGATCCATTGGCTGAAGTACACTAGTACAATTCAGAGAAATGAATACAAGTTTAATACTCTTTAAATTTTCTAAAATTGGATGTGCTGGGCAATTATTGACAAGGAGTAAAACTTTTTTCGTTTACCAATAAGTTCTCTATCTCATTTTTGAATTTTTTCTTGCAAAATCTGACCTCACCCTGACTTTTTGTTGGTTTTGAAATTTACTGGTAGTGTTATTGTTTTTAAAACACCTTGGATTATTTGATTTTCCTATTACAAGAAGTTTTCTTTTGTCATATTAGCACAAACAAAAGCTGTTATCCTATCTTTTGCAAATTTTCCACCAACACACTTTTTTAAATTTAAATGTTTTATCTGATGAAAGTTTCTAAAATATCCCGGTTTCATCTGCATTATAAATGTCTTCATCTGCATATACCCTCTTTAATTTAGGCAATATGTCTCTTAACCAGTTTTCAACATCCAGTACATTTATATTTTTGCTTCTCCACACACTTTTCCAAAATTTATGCCATATCTTTGTTTAAAATGGTCTAGCCATTAGAACATTTAAAGTTAGTATCGCCTTGTAGTAGTTAAAGTTCTTCTGCTTTTTCCATTAGTATCAATCCATTTAGTGGTAAGTTGGAACTTTTGCATTTGTTAAACCACTTAAAGTGGTATCAATATTGGCTTTTTCACATAACTTAATTTTTTTCACTTGTCCCTTGCCATCTTGAAAACTTCAACATTTTCTGTTTTTTATTATTGTACTGTAATTTGTTTAAACCAAAGTCTCTGCATACATCTGCCTTTTTTCTTTCACTTTCAACTGTTTAATTATTTCTACTTTGTAGTCTAACATTTAAGCTTTCCTTTCTAAGCTAGCCATTTCACCTGATTTGATGCTAAACTACAACACGAGTAACTATGCAGACTAACTGATTGTCATGTTGTTTAAAGGTGTGGCAAACCTTGCCCCACCTAAGTCAGGTGGTGAGAATACCACCCATAGTCGTTCTAGGAAGTGGACTCTGACCCTAGGGACTAAAGACGCACTATTTTCTTTGTTAAATAAAATTTGTAATCTAATTTTGTAAATTGGGAGTGCTTTAAATATGATGTTAAAACAGTTTTATGTCATTACAAGTGGGTTTTTTAACATTATCTAGTATAGTAAAATTGTGGGACCAATAAAAATTTGACATCATATTAGTGTTGTCATTACATCTAATGATGTTATAATTGTGTTAAACTATATATATATAAATTATAAATTTCTACATCTGAAAAAAAATTTTACTTAACTTTTCTTTTTAAGGACAAACGTTATACATTAACAATGGAGGATCTTACTCCAGCTCTTGCTGAATATGGAATTAATGTGAAGAAGCCTTATTATTTTGTATAAAAGATACTAGATTGTATAAAATACTCTGACAATATTGGTAATTTTGTATTTATTATTAACATAAAATTTATAATAATTAATGCCATACAAATTTTATTACAATAACAATGAGTGAGTTTTGATAATGTTATTTAATTAAAAGAAGATAGAATTACATTTTATTTATATAATGCACATTGTATACATTTAACTACAATAGAAGTAATTATGTAGATTGCATTCTTTAACTCCTTTCTTTTTTAACAAGATGAAATACTTGAAAGATATATTTAAGAACTTATGTATTTTAATTAACATTGAGTACTTTTGAAAGATGTTTTGATGATGGTTTAATCTCTCAAAAGAACTCAAAATTAATTAAAATATGACTTCTTAAATATATATCTAAAATGTTTTGTCTTGTTATAAGATCAGTTGTTTGAACAGAATTAGTTCTTTGATATTTATAGATTAAATAAAATTTAAACCAACTAATGTTGTTCTTTTGTTTTTCATTTCATTGTTATGATAAACTTTCCTATTTCAGACCTAAAAAATAAAAGTAAATTTATAATAATGCAATTAATATTATATTATAATAATAATAATAAAATTACTGTGCCTGGTTTCCTGAACTTTAACAGGAGTTTCTTTACGTTGCAGTAATTGGCGTTTCCAGACAGGTACAGACTGCTGTCGTTGTTCTTCTTCTTCCTTCTTTAAAATTTTAGAATTAGTTAAGAATGAATTTTTGCTTAGAAATGAATATTTACAATTACTTGTTTCAATTCTTCAGCTTCTTTTCTTGCTTTTTCAGCAGCTTTCTTTGCCATGACTTGGCGTTTCCAGAGCGGGATTGGACAGCCATTGGTATCAACAGATGGCATCTTCTCTACAAAATTATCAGTTGTGAATTCATTATTATCCACCATTTGTTTCTGTAAATAAATTTTTATTCATTAAATGAATCATATGATATTTGAGTGCAAATAAATTTAGTGTAATTGACATATTTAAGATTATTTGTTTAAATACTTCTCATTTTCATTTATGGGAGTGATCATATAAATTAACAGAATATTTAATGAAATTTTTCAAAGAATTTATATATTCTCTGTAAACAGAAAATAAAGTAGAAATAACTTATATCAAATTACCAGATGTATATTTTACAAAACTCTTTCCATGTTAATAGTTTTTACACTAAGAAAAATAACACAAACTTGTATTTAAAAACAAAACATATACTTTGCAAGTATTTTTTATGATACTACCAATTATTGACTTCAGGCATTTTAAAATAAAACAAGAATAAGAATGAATTTACAAGTGATATATCAACTATCTTTGTGTACCATATTTACCCCAAGGGGCAGTACATTTTAACATGACATTATTTCACTGTTCTTATCTACTGTAAGTTTAAATTGCTTTTTACTTTCTAAAAAATTTATTTAGATTCTAGTAATATAATATCTGTTTCCTACTGATTATGTAGATAATGTAATTTAATTTGTGTTATATATACAATCTGATATTTACACAACACTTACAATTAATAAATTAAAGGTACTACATACATTCATTATGAAGTTTATAAGTTTACAAAATTTGTGTTCCATTGCAACTACATGTCTAAGAATATGACAAAGCACATCTGTGATGATACTGTTCTTCAATAATATATCCTTGTGCTGTAGTGTTATAATAGATTTTGTTATTTAATTACTATTGCAGGTCAGTTGTAAGATGCATGGAGTTTTTGCAACAGAGTGTGTGTTCAAAATGTTGATGCCTATGTAAAACACCAAACAATTTTTTTAAAACTTAATATTTCCTCTTCTAATAGAATTCAGATTTTTTACTCAAGACGAGAGAATGATTAAGTTCGTTAACGAAGTAAAAAAAAATGGGTTAAACTTATTTCCCCAAATGGCAGTTATAACATTCACAAAAACATTTTATCCTTAATTAAATACTCGCGAGAGAACAAATTTATTAACCAAGCTATATTTGTATTTCTGCCAGAATCAATCAGAAATAATCCTGTAGTGTTGTGATTTTCAAGAACTTAAACTAATTCTCGATATACCTTCCTTAAGATCTCGAGTGAAAGCAGGATGAACAGACCTCAAACTGGGAATCGGAAGAATTTCAAGATTATTGACAAATTCCGGAGCAACTCTACAGATTATTGCTGCAACACAGTATAGGATATTTCGTTACAAAATATAAATTAGTATGAGTGTCGGTATCCCGTTAAGTAGTAATAAAAGCCTATACAGTCGACCCCCCTATAAGATAGAGATACGTTCCATTCTCTAGGAATCCGCTTTCTTACGAATCCTTCCAATCACAACCCGACACGTATCAAGTTTACGGACTACGGCTGTTTGAAAGATTTTCCATAAAATTAATCGATTCTAGACTAATCCGACTCAACATTTCCAAAATACGTATATATTTTTTGGGAATAATCCGTATAAACTACGCTATAAACAAAAAATTATAGGATTACTTACCGAGTGTCACCATTCGACATTGCCATTGCTCAACATTGTTTTCGTCGCGGAACAGCTCAGCAAAGAGCGGCCGATTTCTAACAACTTATTTTTCTGTGAAAACTTCGTAGAACTTCGGAGACATCATTAATATAAATAATTTTAATCGCCGTTGAATAAGAAATGTTTCTTTCACAAGAAATGTATAAAATTACAGTACTGTATTAGACTTACGGTACCTAATTTACATACTGACAGACGATAGATAGCGTAAAAATCTCCGTAGCGTGGCGCCACGCTAGACGGCGGAAATTATATATTTAATTATAACAAAGTTACAATAAGTTAATATATAATTATATATACAGTACCTAATTTATATATAATTAATATATAATTATATGTACAGTACCTAATTTTTATATAATACTGTCCAGACGATAGAAATCTCTCCGTAGCGTGGCGCTACGGACGGCGGGAAAGTAGTTCGGCTTCCCGATGACGTTTGAGGTGTTTATAGGGAACTTTTACTATTTTTTACGGATACCGGTAGCAATTTTTTCGTAGTTTTATAGGAATCGTAACTATAGGGACCGTAATTATAGGGGGGTCGACTGTACACTAGTGATTTCATTAATTAATTATGTATTCATTCAACATATGTTTGCAGACAAAAAAATGTTTTTAACGAATCCCATCAAACCAAAAGTTTCGTTTTATCTGCCATCTTGGGCATATTCTGCCAAGACTGGTGTTTCCTGGGAAGATTTTCTATGAGAAACTGGCCTCTGGGTGCAGGCAGTGCCGTCTTTAGGGCAGAGCCCCCAGGCCGTAGGGGCCCCTAATCCGAAAGTAATAAAGTTACAAATAAAAAAAATAGGTTAATTAATTAAAATAAACAAATTATTAAAAATATCAAATACTTTTTCTCCTATACGTAGTTAAAATAATCTTAAAGCAAACTTACAAAATTTTTGATACTTAGTACCGTTTTCGGCCGAGGTGTGGTGAATTTCTTCTTGCTGCACAGAAAGAAAATTCCACTTCCTGGCCGATGGAGGTGAAAAATCGTAGATACTCCACGGGATGAAACAAATAATGCATCCCTAGGTCTGTAATATATTATTGTTTGTTTCATTAAGGGGGCCCCATCTTGGTCCTGGCCCAGGACCCCTTACGTTCTAAAGACGGCACTGGTTACAGGTGAAAAAACTCGAAAAATTCACCTGACCAGCTGTATGTCGGGGGCGGAGAAACATACTGACCTGTACTGTGCTATAAAAATGAACAATATTGGATGGTTAAACAATATGAAATAATTTTGACTCAAACGACAAGAGGTTAACCCTTCATGTTGTACAACACGCGTTGCCTCAAAGACGATCCAGAAGACAAACATCGTTGATTTTTGAGTTTGACATTTTACAGATGTTTATAATCGATAAACCTGTTTAATTATTATCTTTAGACATCTTTGTAGAAAACGAATAAACTTACAACCAAATTTTAGTTTATTTAAAATTTACTCCTAGCAAAGTTTGATTTCTCAAATAAAAGATGTTTAAAAATTTCCCGATAGGTAAAATTTGGCGCTAACGTTGCTGAAATTTGCATATTAGATAGGTTATCGGATAAATTCAGGAAGTTGAGACAGACAGTGCAATTTAATGTGGCGATTAGATTTTATAAATTGTAATACCTCTCCATAGTTTGCAATATCACATGGTAATTTTACACGTGTCAAATGCGCACATGGAAATGTTCAATTAACCAATAAATCAGACAGTTCTACTGTACGTGCCCTTAACCTCTTTGTTATAAAGCAGTGATTCCCAAAGATTTTTGAGCCACCATCCCCCTTGGTGCCATACCCAATGCCCCAACCCATTTTCCCTTGAGTGAGAAAGGCTTAGAAATATTCTTAGAAAAACTTCTACATACTTCACTTTGTGTCCTTACCATACATTGTCAACCATTAAACGTAATGTTTCTTCTTACCCGTTTTAATGGAGGAAAGGAACCTTGCCGTTCGGTCCTGCCTCCTGCCGCCCCCTTGTTTCTTTTCACCTCCCTAGGGGCAATAGTGTCCACTGTTCTGGAGCAAGTATTTAATGAACAATGCACTCGACGGCAAAATGTAACTGCCTTGGGTTAGTTGTTTCACAAGTAGCAAATTTTGTCTTTTAAGACAACTAAGTCAGGAACTTCGCCCTGATAAACAAGGCTCATCAATAATCCACATAACCATAAATCACCAGAGATCAAGTCTGGTGATTGTGGTGGCCATGCTGTTGGAAATGATGGCTAATCGTTCATTCGTGAAGTGCTGATTCAATAATTTTCGAACATTGACGTCGATATGAGAGGATACTCCATCTTACATAAAAATTGGGGTATCCAAACAAATTGAGAATCGTCGCTAGAGTACGACGATGACAAAGTTTTAAAGCATGTCTCCATACCTAGTAGCATTGACAAGGCATGTCACTGGCCCAGATGCAGTGTTTCCTTTTAATAAAATACGGTCCAATAATGAAGGATGCCGTGAACCCGCACCACACTGTGATTTTTGGTTCCAAAACTTACGTAATGTGGAAACTGCAGCGACACTAGGACCAAATTTTCCCCTATCGGAAAATTTTGGAACTAAACTTTTTATTTTCGAAATTGAAATCCCATGGCCAGGAAAGTATACCTAATTTGGTTACATTTCTCTGAGTAGTTCTTTTTACACAGAGCTTACCATTAAACCCAGCTCTAAACGCCTGCGTTTAAAGCTGTGTTTAATGATGATTACTCTCTATTATCAAGCTTCGACTGGCATCATCATTTCGGATCATTTTGTTTATAAATCTGGAAAATTTAAAAATTTTTGTGAAAATAAATTTAAAAAAAATTATTTCATCCTTACACTAACGAATATACCAGTATCGAGTAGTAATTGTGACTGTGCTGAAATACTTGTACCGGTACGTCAAGTTTCCATCAGTAAATGGAAATTTGGTCTTTATTTCTCAATGTAGAAAGATAATGGATAAGAACAGTTTGATGATGATGAGAGTTTGACGATACTCTTAAGATAATTGGAAAATGTTTAGAAAGTAGTTATATTAAATAACAATTTTATTAAAACTTTTTTCTTATGGTGTACAAGAGTATAATTATCTTAACATATTCCTGCATCAGCCACTCTATTTATAAATGTAGATGATTGTAATTTCGATCAGTGAGCGTGAAACTTTTTTTTTGTACATAAAAATTGATGAATAGAAATTTCTGTTTGACAAAAATAGATGATAATTGATGGTATTTGGAACCTACCTTGTTTGCTTCTGCATTTTTGTCCTCCAACTTCCTTGTTCTGTCTACTTCTTTCGACTTTTTTCCCTCCTCGACAACGTCATTCTTTTTTAATAAAACAGTGCGTTGTCCTAGAAACGATCCAAACGTCGGAAATTATTAATATGTTTTTTAGGTCATTGGTAGGACATTGAAATGATTTTTATAAATAATTTATCATGGAAATGTATAGAAAATTGCAATGATTTTCATAAAAGATTATAAGAATATATTACTTTTTTGATTGTTATATATAACAGCGAAAGTATGGCAATCGGTCAAAAAATGACCCCCCCCATATTTTTACATTTTTGGACTCGGGAGTTTGAAATGTTGAGAAATGCAAAAGAGTTCGGGGAAGAGGAGTAATTTTTATGTATGGATGTTAGTTTGTGTAAGGGACACAATTTTGATCACTCTGAAGCTTAATAGCTCCTGTGCTTTTTGTCGAAAATTTCTGAAATTTTGTAGGGGAGGTTTGTTTATTAGGAAAATTGATGCTATTAAACTGAGTAAAGGTCGAGGAGGTGGGGAGATAAAGGGGGTCGTGTGTATCTTCAGTAGGGTCGGACTTAGATGACGATTTTACTCGTTATTAGCACTTACAATTTTTTTTATAAAACCCATCTCTACCCTCAAAATTAAGCTTTTTGACATTTTATAATAGTTAAAAATATAAAAGCTTTTAAAACAAAATATGATAACAGACGTCGCCGGAAAAGTTAAGCAACTCGTTGATGTATTATATATATATATATAGGCCTATATATACATATATATGCTACGCCAAATCAGCGAATGTTGCCTATTTGATGAAGTCGGTATTTTATATTTTCCAATAAGATACCGACATTTGTTTCGCTCATTGAATTATGATTTAGAAAATGTTAGTCGAAGTTTTATTTTAGTTATGGTGACTAAACATCCCTGATTTTCGGGAATTATCACCAGTTTTGCCTGTTTTTAACAAGTGATTGTAGAATCAACCTTTAAATAGAACAATTTTATTAACAACCTAATATAATAGCGTCAATTTATAGATAAATAAATAAATTTTTAAAAAATCACCAAAGTTCAGTCAGTTTTAGACCACATTTTCACTGATTCTGAAATGCATCCCCGGTTTGATTGTAAATGCTATTATCAACCTATTTTAGTATTGTTTTCTTAATTGAACTTAAAGATTACTTAATTATATTTTATACTTAGTAATGATGCTTATTTATACATGCCAAGGGGTAAAAAATTTGTTAGAATAAAAATAGAAATGACATCATATTCAGTTCTGTTTCATTAGAGAATGGCGGAAAGTTGAATTGATATAAACTATTTTAATTAATCAATGATTATTTTCTCGTCTTTTATTTCATATTAATGTGAAAACATTAAATAACTATTATTACTTATGCTATCTTAGCGTCAAAGAGACTAACAACTTATCAAAAATTATTTTGAAAAGACCATCTTTCATCGAACAAAATATAGGACCACGAATAAAAAATAAAATACAGCAAGAAATACTGATGAGGTGAATGAAAGGTAACAAAATTATTTTCAATTAATAAATCAATATATATAGGATTTTTAGATCAGCTTTTCGTATTTTGAAATCGATGGTTTTTCTGGAGGAACTGTTTGGTTTGGTTTAATGGAATAAGGCAAAGCAACACGAAGACGATTTGTCAAGGGTTGACGTCTGGAGAATTTTCTACGGAAAACTGACACTTATTTAGGTGTTAAGACACGAAGAAAACGCCGAAATTGTCACAAGACTAGTTGAGGCGAGAACCCACGACCAGATTTCAGTGTTCGGTGGTATTAGCCACTCGCCCACTAATGGGCTTGAAATCGATGAATTTGTTGTTCAAGCAGAAAATCTAGTTAAATGAAAACTATAAACTAGAACGAAACGAAGAGCGCCCTATAGTTCATAAAATTCTAACATGAAATATTATGTTAGAAATAAAAATAAAATAGTTCCTCTTCAGTTGATATTAATATAAAATGGTTATAATACTTAAAATTATACAAGACAAACAAACTGCTATAAAGGTATGATCAGTGAACATTAGTTTAAATGGGTGCAGAGGAGACAGGCATAAGGCGCCTTCATAATGCTACAAGGTAGTTTGACTTAATAAGAGAAATAAATTTATAATAATTAATAATTTTTAAATATCTGTAATACAAAATCTCGCACTCCAAGTTAAAAACAACACTCTAAACATAGAAATAAATGCTGACTATTAAAATCTTCATTAATTCAAAAATAATATGAAAGGAACTCACCTGGATCGGGTAAATCTGTCTTTTTCAATTGTACCTTCTGGATCTGGTCCGATAAACTAATTCCTACGGGAACGGAAGCGACACATTGTACCACCGTTTTGTCATTTTGAGTCTCACTTTTCCATTTTGACATATCGGATCCATAACAAGAGATCTTAACGAATGAATTCTTTGATTCCTCTTGATTTGATGTAGTTTTCGATACAACCTTATGGCTGGTTGGCGATAACTTTTTTAAATATTCCGAAGGTTTGATATTTATGTCGACTTCGGGTGGACCATCGAACTGAGGTGGAATGAATGATAGTTGTTGGCGAGTAATGTATAATTTTTTGGGTGTCAGTTCGTTCGTGACGGTGGCATTATCTTCGGTGCATTCCGATTTCTCCTCCGGTTCTTGTTTCTTTTCAATATTTATGGGTAGAGGGGGAGGAGGGGGAGGAGGAGGAACCACCGCGGCGATGCATCCCTCATCGGTCTCCTCCTCTTCCAGTTCTTGATAGATGCCCTCGTCAGTGCTGGTACTGCTTTCATCCGATCTAAACAATCTTCGATTTGATTGTCTTTTATCACTTTCCTCCGAGCTGCAATGTACGTCCGCTTCTACCGACATCACGGAGCGATTGGTCTCGAAATCTGTTGGTCTGGTATTTGTCGAGTACACACTGGCTGTCGAATCGGCCGTCAATCCGGTATCGGTATCCGTTTCTTCTCCAAACAGTTGTCTTACTCTATCGTCGGATGTCATACTCGGTTGGTGAAGGTAAAACGGTCTATAAGGCTGTCGACTTGTTTTTGAATTCGCCAAATCTTTAAAATAACTCGTGCTGCTTCCGCTGCTGTCGCTGCTATTTCTATGTAGATAAAGGCAGGGAAAGCGGTACATTCTACTTTCGGGATTTTGTAAACGGCAACAACGATTTACGTTCTGGGAAGAAATCATTCGGATAAAGATTAAGGTAAGAAACGTGTAAAGAGCCACGTTAATATTGTTTAAAGTGAAAACAAATTACCCTTCTTCTGGACGAAGGCGGACAAAACGGCGTTCTACAAGAGCAGTGTCTTTGAGAAGGAATAGCCGGTAAGGGAAATATGGGGATTCTCGGTTGATCCAAGTGTCTAGATTCAGACGCATGAGACACCAAGAAAGTAAGGCACTAAAATTAAATGTATTTCGAAATTATCATCTTTAAGCAGATACAAACCGGACAATTCTGATATTTAATAAAATGCTATAAAAAGGACACGTGTCGTTTGGAGAGTTCGTATCAAACACTTCTTATCTTTAAGATTTATAACACTTTCCTGAGCAACAATATAATTAAAACCCACTAAGAGTTATGGTGACTAAACATCCCTGATTTTCGGGAATTATCACCAGTTTTGTCTGTTTTTAACAAGTGATTGTAGAATCAACCTTTAAATAGAACAATTTTATTAACAACCTAATATAATAGCGTCAATTTATAGATAAATAAATAAATTTTTAAAAAATCACCAAAGTTCAGTCAGTTTTAGACCACATTTTCACTGATTCTGAAATGCATCCCCGGTTTGNAAATAATTAATTATAAAGGTAAATAATAAATGCCAAAAAACTTCGGAGTTTTTTGAATATTTATTGTCTAGATTTTTTTACGAGTCACTCAAGCGAATACAATATGTTGTATCTCAGAGCCAAAGGTATCCTCTGGCTACGAAATAAAAACGTATTGTCTGTGATACTTTGGCTCTAAAGCACAAGCAGAGACAAAATATCCCTCTGTTTCAAATACAGATGTGTTAAATTGACTTTCGAGCTGAAATGACATTTTTGATGAGTCCTAAACGATGTTTCTTTATTTTTTTAATAGAATTAAACTAAGAGCGAATTTAGGCCTAAGAAAGCTAGGCAATAGCCTAGGCCCCGGATCCAGGAACCCGTAAATCTATACGTAAATTCACATATAAATAAATAAATTTTTAAGTGTATAGTGAACAATTTGAGCTTAGTAACATTTTGAGTTTCTTGGTCTAATGGTAAATGTAATAAATAAAATTATTAATTCTTTTTTTGAGGACCCGAAAATTTTAATTGGCACCGAACTAAGCCCAAAATGTACTAAATTTATATTTGCAGGATTTAAAATATTTCTAAATTATGTATTTATGCTTTCATATATATCATAATTTATGGCTGACAGGGTGCTTCGTAAATATAGTTTATAATGTTTGTGTTCCGTGGATTTTATATACAGGAATATATAAAATCCATTGGAATTCCAAATTTTCTAAGTTAGGCTAATCTTCTCTATGTAAGATCTTTTGTATTAGTGGAATGTTTGCAAAAGACAAATAGGCCTACCTCTAAATGGCCATTATCTGCTGCATCATTTAGTGGACTTTTACCATATTTGTCTAAATAGATTCTTCCTCCGTGCTTCAATAACCAACGGAGAATATTTAAATGGCCTCTGCTAGCTGCAAAGTGCACCGCCGTGGCTCCGTCGTTGTCTCTCAAATTTGGATCCACGCCTTGTTCGCTTACCTAAAATACAATTATAACTAAAACTTAAGCTAAATTGAACATTTCTAAAATTGAATAAGTCACAAATTTGTGTATATGTATAGGCTTACAATATTTTAATAAAAATTTTATATATTTTATTGTTATAGGGTTATCTAGAAGTTTGAATTGCTACTTTAACTTATTTGTTTTAACTGAAAATCTATAATCTCGCTTTATGATAGTAATTTAATATATAAATCGTAACTAATTATAACTAATGTACAGTACAAAATAATCATATACGTAACTCTATTGCATAACTTTCTTACCATCCACTTGAGACATTTGAAGGCTCCAGTCTGTGCAGAAGCGTGTATAGGGGCCATCCCGTCTTTGGCTCTTATATATAAGGATCCTCCTGAGATGACCACCAGGTACTTGAGCACTTCCAAATGATTATCTTGAGCGGCCAGGTACACAGGTGTCACGTTGTTCTCCATTTGAAAATTGGCACTGAATTCGATGAAAAACGAATTATAATTACTGAAAACTTTCCTATTAATAATCACGTTTCTTCGTTTCATGCACAATTTAATAATGGAAAAACAAGGGTGAATGACATTCGGATACTTCGACCATGCGACAAGAAATAACGATAATTAGCCTTTTGGTGGATTGACCTACGTTATTTATTATGGTCTATTAATTAGGGGAAGTGAATGTTGGATTTGCACTTTTTTAGGAGTTTAATTGTTAAATTTAATAAATAATTTTCAAGAGTCGTTAAACGAGTTAAAGATATTTTATTGATAGACGGAATAAAAACAATTTTTCGATAGGCAAGAGTTATTTTATGAAAGTTTACTTTGTTGCGATGACTACTAGAAACTTTCCTCAACCCTAATAGATTTTTTTTTTTAGAAAATTTTCAAATTTGAATCTTAATTTTGATATTTATTGATCTCTAATGTATAAAGGCCTATAATATTTAATTAACATGTACAGAAATTTAGACAACAGATCTTTTAGATCTTAGTACTGACTTTTATCTCCATGTTACACACAAACTTACAGGCTTATTAATTATACCGTGTTCTTTATTAAACACTTAAAACTAAAACAATTACTTTTAAAATTTTATTTATTTTCAAATATCTGTTTTACCTGTTTTCGGTGGTCGCTTCGACTAGCATCTTAACACAATCTATACAACCACTGGCAGCGGCGTAATGTAACGGTAAAGCATTTCTAGTCGTCTTCTCGGTAGGTGACATCTGACCTTCGTGTAGAAGCCACTTTAAAACCTCCCTACTACCGCATCTTTAAATGCGTAAACGATATGTAAGTGGCGGCAGACCAGAAACTGTCACACATTTCCACCAAATTAACCTACTTACCTGGCAGCAATGTGAAGAACGGTCGCACCGTCCGCATCTCTATCGTGTAACGAGCATTCCGTATTGTTAACTAGCCACACTAACGCCGTCAACTTTCCCATAGCGGTTGCATCGTGTAGAGGAGTGGCTCCCGTATGCGATGTGGTATTGGCTTTCATGCCACATTTCTTGATCAAAAAGTTAAGTACTTTGATGTTTCCTCCTCTGGCCGCGTAATGCACACACGTTGCACCCACATCGTCTTGAATGTTGGGAGTCAGTTGATGATTTTTCTTCAACACCTGAAGTCCCTGAAGGTCCCCTTCACGTGCAGCGACCAGGGCTCGATGAATCAGAGGAATATCTGGCATTGTCACATCTCAATCTACAATTATTCGAATATGATAACACTTTTTTTTTAATATTATAAAACACTAAGAATGAGTTTCTAATTTTTAGAATGGTCAAAACTGAAGCAAAGTAAAATCACAAGAATTAAAAAAAAAAAACAACTTAAAATACTGTCACAGTACAGTAATTATCTGCATCAGATAAATTTAGATTTCTTTTAACCTACTTCGATGATTATCTCGACATCAAAATCAAATAACTACTTCAAGTCATTTATTATTTCTGTGAAATTTAATAATTTTTTTATAGTTTTCACTCGCGTGACGCGAATCATTTTATAAATCAGCAAAGTAATGGTTCAGAATTTAAAAATATATCACTTAAACTTACTTTTAATGTCTTAAGTGTTAAAATCTACAAAAATCTAACTGTAAAAGGATTTCTTTTCTTATAGATTTTTTAAAATCTTTAAAGCAGTTTTTGAAGTCACTAGACGTTGAACATTACTTTGAAGATTCAAAGATTTAGTAACGTTTAAGGAACAAGAACGTATAAATCACCGTAATTAATTCTTGTTTAAATACTAATTAAAATGAATTCTAATTAAACAGCTATTTTAAATTATAGAAAAGCAATTAGTCGAATTAATTTTGTGTAAACTGTAACTCTATCATCGATAAAGTGAAGGAAATAATCCAAAAATAAACGTTTAAAAATTTCTCTATGTGGTGATTTTTTGGATAAAAGATTGGCGTAGATCGATCTAAGCTACTAGAGTAATAATTTTTCCATATTTTTAAATAAATCATCTGTAACTTAAATCAGGAACCGGAACATCCTAGTAATGGTTCTAGATCAGTTATTCTGTACCTAGTACATTTAGACTATTTTAATTCTACTGTTCTGATAACCTCAGTCATTATTACTTCCTTGTTTATTCCTTTAAATTTCTTCCACATTTTATTCAAAATCATCTCAAAAAATATTTCATATTTTATTAAATATATCCAATTACCTGTATATAATCTCAGTTAATTTTTGAAAGATTTTTTAATAATTTCGTAGAAAAAATTATATTAAAAACATTATTTTAAATTAATGCTATAAATTTAAAAAATTCTAATAAATAATCTAACCAATTCTAACAAATAATTCCACAAAAACACAAAAGATATATAAAATTTTAATAAATAATGTAAAAAATTCATATAAAATTCCATATAATTATCTAAAAATATCGTAAAATTTAATTAAATTACGTAAAAAGCCCAGATTCTAAAAAAATTAATTTAAAAACATGTATAAAACTCAGACAAATAATCTAAAAATAGCATAAAATTTTGAGAATTATTCTAAAATAGGCTAAACTTTTAAAAAATAATATAAAAAGTTGTTGTAAAATTCTAGAAAATTATCTAAAAATACTTTAAATTTATAACAAATTCAAATTCTAAAAACTCCAAAACTCATAAATTGCAGACAAATAACTAAAAAGGGAAAAACTATAAAATTCAGCAGCTACAATCTAAAAAATTCATAATTTTAATAAATAACCCTAATTTTAAAATTCTAAAACAACAGTAAAAAATTTAGAAATAAATATTTTGTAACTTTAAATGATTTAAAAATACAAGCAACTAAAAGAGTAATAAACTTCACTCTCTGAAAACTTAATTATAGTTAAATTCCAAGTTAATTGCGATTTTTTAACGTAAAAAAACACTGTTTTAAAATAGCAATTAAGCGCAAAACCGTGAAGATTCATTGGTTGGAATTAGAAAATTTACTGTAATTAGAATAATATCTGGTCATAATTGATCTTCCCGTAATAAATTTTAATTAATTTCTGTATAATTTTTTCCCTTCATCTAAAAATCCCTCAAATGATTTCGAGCGTTACGAAATTTTTCGTCCGACGAATAATTGGATTCACGGAGTGGAACTTAAACGGATTGAGAGTAATAAAGTCTGACTAGAGGAGGATAAATCCGACAGAATTTAGTTTTAGGTCAGTGGAATAACACAAGAAATCAGTTCATAATGCTATACACAATGAGAAAATACAATGAGTTGCGACATTGACTCGAGTTTTTTGCGTTTTTCCGAATGAGTTAATGCTTTTTTTTTAAATAAATAAAATTAATTTTAATAGTACTTAACCGTAACCGAGTAGTTGGCTCTCTCTAGTTTATTATAACACGAATATTCGAATTTTTTTTCACTCGATTCTGAAAAAAACCTCCTCTCGTTTTGTGTAGGAGCATAGCAGAGACGGAAAATGTAGAGATCTTCGAAGTTTTTTCACACGATCACCGTAACCGCTCACCCATTCAGTGATCCCAACTTTGATAAAGTAAGGAAAAAATATTTAATATAGTTCCACTTCCGGTACAACATCACAATTGTCCCAGTATCTGCGGGGAAGACAAACAAAAGAGCCTTCTTTCGGAAGGTGTAAAAAGTTTTAATTGCATAAAAGTAAAAAAATCGAAACGAGAAACGATACATTGAATAGGAGATATGGATATTAATTACCTGTATGTATAATAAACTACTAGCAAGGGGTGGTAATATCGGCGACTATCAATAGTTAAGAGTACAGGTGTACTGTGCCTTTCTTTAAAGCGTATCGCTAATACGGTGCTTTTCAATTATCTTTATTTTATGTTTATGGCTTGCTCTTACGAGGTTTATGCAGGTTTTATTTATTTATTATTTTTACTTTTGTATCGTTTATAAGCCTAGAGCTATTGTCTACTTAATAAATGATGGTGTAAATATATTTTTAGGCTTTTATATAGTCTATATTCTATACTAAAAACTGAAAAAGGCTATGATTTTCTTTACATCCGCCGTATGCCTGTATTATATATACACAGTAGGCCTATTTGTAAAGAATACATAAGCCCTACAACATAAAAAAATTAATTCTGGGAGTTAAAAATATTATTTTATATTTAATTCTTAATATATTGATGGTAATTTCAGTAGCTTAACAATAGAATAGTTTTATTTGTCGTTCGGAGTACTTATTTGTATACTTGTGAGTGAATAGATTTGCGTTAGATGCTTATTATAAGAAAAACCTTAGTAAGTTGTTATATATTAAGTAAAATATATACTAATTTGCTATTTTAGTTTACTAGTTGTACGCTGAGACGATCTGTAATTATCTAAATCTACTTTATTTATTCATAAAATGTGTGACACGTACAGTACAAAACAAATAATTACGGCTTTCTAATTCACAGAAGTGAAAAGTTATTTGATTAACCCGTAATGTAGAATTTATAAAATGATATTTGGCTATAGCCTAAGTTCACAATATCCGTCACAAACACTCGATTAACTACTTAAAACACGAGACTTACCTTTAAGCATGTGAAACTCTAATAATATAATGGCACCACCAATCAATTGTAGGATATTTAAGTGTACGAGACGACAACAAACTTTCGATTGACTCGAGAATGTATAAAGGGTGTCGATCGGAGCTCGAGAAGCGGGCATCTCGTTCGAATTGGCGAAGAGTGTGGAAGGTCGAAGACACGCTCCAGTTCACTCGACATATTTTTCCCCCAGTCAAGATCAAAGACGATAAAAATTGTGACGATCGAACAGAATATGTCAGATACGGTCCATAATTGATATGTTAGCACGTTCTACTAAGCACGATTACCAAAGAAACGAAGTCGTAACGAGGTAATAACATTCTCTTCTCTCCGACCAAATTGGCATTTTTTTCACACATTTAACTTGTTCCTTACTCAAAGACGTGTGATTAATGACGAGAAAATGTAACTTTCCACGTACGAAACGATCGTTATAATTAATTAATTTTGTACGAAAATATTAATGACGTTCTTGAGAAATACTTTGGAGAAGTGAGAAGTGCACTTCATCACATGGATGTGTGAAGTGCTGTACATGCATTACTTGGATGTCTTTTCTAATAAACCATTCTAGGAAATAGGAAACAGTAGTTTATTATTAGTTATTACTAGGAAACAGTAGTTTATTATTATTTTGTGGAATCTCAGTTATGAAATACATTCGAAATCCACAACGTATTTTGTATGTTCCGGACAAATTTGTGAATAAGAAGCATAAAATGAGTTTAGTACAATGAGTTATTCTTATACAGAATTGATAAAGACACGATTAATTAATTAATTTAATGTTTACATTGGTTAATTGACTTTTGGGCCACTCTGTGTTTTGCGTATTCTCTTGTTGAATTAAAAAGTATCTTTAACGCGCATTCATATCTATATAGGGTCTGCATATTAAAGTTGTTACGTGCAAAATATTACACTTCTGATGTAGTAAAACACAGAATTTATGATCAGAAAAAATCAAAGGAGTGAGTAAGATCTTGAAATTGAATAATTATAGTTATTTGTTAAGCGTATCAGCGGTACGTCATTCAGAAAAAGCACGTGTTCGTCCTTAAAAAGCATTAATGAAAATTAAATAGTCATTGACCTATTAATGCATCTTTGACCTTTGCATCCCTTAATTACTGCAAAGAGCAGAAATAATCATTTATGTAGAACAGTGGCAATTATGTCAGGTCGACTGTGATCAATACCGTGATGAAAACACTTTCTAATTAGTTAAATTCTTCATGCTCTATAACGAAGAATTGTCTTTTCCACGCACTTTTTTGTCTTCTTTCCATGTTTTAACGTGAAAGTTATACAAATTCTACAGGATTTTTGATATAAATATCGCGTAGATCCTCCTTCCATTATGCATTTTCAAAGAAGCGTAACTAACGCTTACATCCTTTTATATATTATAAACATAAAGAATATTAACTCGAGTATAAAATAACTATATTAATACAGGAGTTTTCTAAAAATTCCGGATATTGTGGACATTTATTTTAAAAATAAATGCATGAACTTTTAGAATTTATCAGGTTCAGTATCAGTTTTAAGTCAAGTAACCTTCTAAAATATTTTAAAAAATTGAATTTTTAGAGGGTGGAGATTTATAAATCCACAAAGATAAAGAATGTTAACAATATAATTCTTTGTATACAAGAGCATACAAGAGCTCCTATCGTAACAATCTAAGAAATTAAAACGTGGTTTACGTGATTCATGAAGCAAGAATGACAGAATAATGCAATAAATACGAAATTTTATTGTCAAGATCCTTATAATTTTATTTATTATTTTACATTAAGTTATTAAGAAAACATTGATAACAACGTAGATATAAATCGCTTCCTATTGTTATCAAATTGTCTCGTAAACATAAAAAAATACACGTCTATAAAAATCAACCAGTAAATAAAAAAAATAAATATGTAACTATCTTATAAAAATTTGTAAATTTTACAAATATTTACGGTTAAAATAACATAACTTCCTTAAAGAATATCAAACTATAATTTTATTTATGAAATTATTATATTTAAGATACTCACATTCACCATTGGATAATTTATATTAGCATCAATGGAAGTGATGCAGCATCCCGAGTGAAAAAATCTGCAAAGATCCACAAAAATTCGTGGATTATCTGAACGGTTCGACTGAGAATTTTGTAGTGGAGGGTTTGTTTTCTTTTTTATCATTGGTTAATTCATAAAAGCGTGAAACGACAGAAGCAAGCTTTAGTAGATATGGTCTAGATACTTGACCCAGAAATTACTATCCAAGTGCAATTATGCGATCGACAGGAAATTCGAGAAGAAGAAAATGACAAAATGTAGAAAATTAATCATTTATCGTAATTTAGATTTGAATAGTTTTGCACGATTTGTCACTCGGAGCTATCTTAATTGACAGGTTTTCATCATATAAAAATAAAGTACATCAGAATATTAAATGTATTGCTTTTTTGGGAATAAAATCATTATTCATCCTCTTTAGAGACAATTTTGTTCTTAGAAGAAAAGGTGATTTAAATCTTAACCTATAAAGTGCATCGAAAGTTCCATAATTTAAATAGAATCGTTTACTTTCTTACTTTTAGACAGGTTTAATTAAATAAGTTTTCGATGCTTCGGTCATTTGTTACGTATTAAAACGTATAAGTATCCGTAGAAGGAGCGTAACGTGTCTATGGATGTTTACAAGAAATTTCTGTATTTGTACAAAGTGAGGTTTAGGTAGTGCGCACAATTTATCTTACATTACCATATTAAAATAAATTTAAACGTAGATTTGGTACGTTACGCGTATAAACTTTTGTGCTGTAAACTAAGTTACTTTACCTTTAGCTTAAGTTTATAGTAACGTAACGTAACGTAATTTATAAGCTTGTAATAACCGTAGCAAGGTTGCTCTGCTTTTCAAGAGAAGGAAACAAATTAACAATAGAAAATGATAGTACTGTATCTGTTTTACTTCCTTTGAAAATTTGCTACGTACTTTATCCTTGGGAACTAACTCGTAAGTTTAATCTTTTTCTTCAAGCAAACAAAGAATAGGCTATTTTGCAAAGCCTGAAAAATATTTCATAGATCAAGCAATTTATATCAAATTTGATGAAAATCGAATTATTTTCTATTCAATTTTTTCTCTAAATTAGGAAATTTTAAAAGTCCAAAATGTAGGAAAGTTATAAGCTATTCAGAAAGGAAAACGGCCATTCACAAAGTCTATTTTCGTTCTCCACGCGGCATTTGATAGTCCAGATGGCCGATAGATTATCCTAATGGCTAAATTTTGGATATTTTTAGAGATTTATTTGATTATTCCATCCATATCTGGTGATTCGGAATTATTTATTTTACTTGGTCGGATGCTTGTAATTGAATTTATCTTATATTTGAATCTATATTACTTTTAAAATTAAAATATATCTGGGAAGAAACGCTTTATTTATACAAATAATTGTCTTAGAAGTGATTAAAATGGTTTTAACCCCAATATGATGCCTTTTTAGGCAAATCAAAATAATCTTTCTCAAAAAGTCAATAGATATTTTACTCAAAAGTCATGATTTCTTTCAGGAAAAAGTCCAAAAATTTCTCCTATTCGATAAATATTTAGGACTAATAAATGATTAAGTATTGGAGAAGCACTATCTTTGCCCGTAAATCGGGGCGCCATCATAAAATACAGTATTTTTTAAGATACAGCAAACCTGCTTAAAACAGACTCTCTACAAAATGGAAACCTGGCTAAAAGAAAAGTTCTGGCCATTACCACTTCATTCCGTTATAGATAACGGAATGAAGTGGTAATGGCCAGAACTTTTCTTTATAGATAAGTTAGGATTTCACTGTTTTAGGTTATAGATAAGTTAGGTTTCACTGTATTTACAAGATTTATTACAATTTGTTCAAATTAGCAATTTTATCGATATTTCGGAATTACACTTTGAAACAGTATTTTAATAAACAACTGAAGTAGTAAAGGGTCAGCCTGCCGTTCTAGAGTATGACAGTGAAACGAAGCCTTAGAAAATTTTATGATTGGTTGACGTTAGTGAAGGACAGGCCACTTCGAATACGTCGGATTTCATTCTTCATCATTGGCTGCCTCCATGTTTAATATAAAAACAGAAAGTAAAACATACAATAAAGTAATAAAAACGTTAAAATAGATTTACAATGTATTGAAAAATTCAACAGGTATACGGAAATTTACCTACAAAACTGCTGTTTATTTTTAGCAGCGCCAAATTTATCAGTTATAGAAAGTCCAGTTCTGCAAAAATATCCCTTTCAACGGACAAGATCGAAAATAAAGGAAATCTCTATTGATACCTCGTTGATCGAAGTTAATTCTTGATCAATTCTAACTTTGAAAATGATCGTTCTGCAGATGCAACAGATATCTATAAACTTCTATATACACTCAGATTCCTTAAATACTATGTCACATACACCTTATATCTCTGAAAACCAACATTTATTGCTTTAACAAACGTTTTCAACCTGATCAACAGGTCATCGTCAGGTATTTTCAGGTGGTTGAATGGAATGAGGCTAGAATTGTTAAACGGGTGCACTCACCGTCTTTAGCAATGACTTTAGAAACGTTTGAAATATATAAATCTAGCCTTACTGGCAAATATTTGAATTACAAAGATGCCACAATATTATCATCGGTCTGGAAATATATGATCAAAAATAGCGCAGTAAAATCTAATAAGTAATGCGCACTCTGTCGATATAATTCTGTATATTGTAACCATCATAAAAACGTTCCAGAGAATTGAATATACGTAACGATGACCTGTTGAAAACGTTTATTAAAAAAGTATATTTTTCACTGATCAAAATACAGGTCTTTTAAAATTTCTACCGTTATTTTTATGCTCACTAGTAGATACTGCTATCAGGTGACACCATTGAAATAATTAATACCTTTTTTCTTTTTTATCTGTCTACTGATTGGGGTTTAACACAATTATAATTCAGTTTGACGTTATCTCTTCAACTTTGCAATAAGTTTTCTTAAATATGACGTTATCATATAGTGCACGTGAAAATATGTATAATTTGAAAAAAGTATTTTGGGTAGGTGCGGTTGTTTCACTTTTTCGATAAATCCTTTGTCATTATCTCTTTATCTCTAAGGCATATCTTTATCGACGATCTAAAACAATATCGATTTTTAACACTCAAATTAGGTCTACGTGTTAGAAAAACTTGGGATTTATGCCAAAACCTAATAACTAAAGATAATCTGAATGTCACTGCGAATTTCACCTTTCTATTCATTGTTTTGACAATTTTTAAAGCTGTTGTATGTAGCAATGTCGTTTATTTTAATACATTTTTTATGTTTTTGCATTAGAATATTAAATTTACTCTATGGTAAATAACTAGTGTCTCTCATCACGTATAATTAATCGACTCAAAGTAATTGAAATAACTGGAATCAAATCCTATTATGAATATAAGAATTGACGTAAATTTATAAGAACTCACTTCTAGCCACTTTCCATCCTTTTATCATAGCTTGGATGTAATTTTGTTAGTTACTGCTCATTATACTGTATTTGTGTTCCGCTAATTAAATATCAATATAAAGAGATTTATACCAAATATCATTTAACATGTACTATACATAGTAAGTAGGCTGACTATAACTTCTTGATACCAAAACGAAACAAGGAAGACGTAGCTGATATACGCAAATACAAATGTAGTGAAACGTCAAAAATTCGGATTCGGCTATCAAAAAATAGATATTAATCCTTTCAATTGTAACTTCGTTGTTGATGTTCTAAAATCAAGATCAAGATATCTTCAAAGACGTTTTGATGTTGCGAAGTTTATAACATGTCTACTCACCAGTAACAATGAGGAAAAATCCACATATACCTCAGATGAATGACGATTAACCGAAAGAAACTTAGGGGAAGTGCGGATAGCGTCGGATACTTGAACTACTGTGTAATCGAGCACATATCAAATATAAAGGGGGATGTCTCATAAGGAACTCTTTACCCTGCCCCGCCTATTGGCACTACAGGGTTTAAAGAGACTATGCCTTGTTCATCGACTGGTCGGTACCTGACGCGGTAGACAGGGACGTCATAGNAAAAAAAAAAAAAAAAAAAAAAAAAAAAAAAAAAAAAAAAAAAAAAAAAAAAAAAAAAAAAAAAAAAAAAAAAAAAAAAAAAAAAAAAAAAAAAAAAAAAAAAAAAAAAAAAAAAAAAAAAAAAAAAAAAAAAAAAAAAAAAAAAAAAAAAAAAAAAAAAAAAAAAAAAAAAAAAAAAAAAAAAAAAAAAAAAAAAAAAAAAAAAAAAAAAAAAAAAAAAAAAAAAAAAAAAAAAAAAAAAAAAAAAAAAAAAAAAAAAAAAAAAAAAAAAAAAAAAAAAAAAAAAAAAAAAAAAAAAAAAAAAAAAAAAAAAAAAAAAAAAAAAAAAAAAAAAAAAAAAAAAAAAAAAAAAAAAAAAAAAAAAAAAAAAAAAAAAAAAAAAAAAAAAAAAAAAAAAAAAAAAAAAAAAAAAAAAAAAAAAAAAAAAAAAAAAAAAAAAAAAAAAAAAAAAAAAAAAAAAAAAAAAAAAAAAAAAAAAAAAAAAAAAAAAAAAAAAAAAAAAAAAAAAAAAAAAAAAAAAAAAAAAAAAAAAAAAAAAAAAAAAAAAAAAAAAAAAAAAAAAAAAAAAAAAAAAAAAAAAAAAAAAAAAAAAAAAAAAAAAAAAAAAAAAAAAAAAAAAAAAAAAAAAAAAAAAAAAAAAAAAAAAAAAAAAAAAAAAAAAAAAAAAAAAAAAAAAAAAAAAAAAAAAAAAAAAAAAAAAAAAAAAAAAAAAAAAAAAAAAAAAAAAAAAAAAAAAAAAAAAAAAAAAAAAAAAAAAAAAAAAAAAAAAAAAAAAAAAAAAAAAAAAAAAAAAAAAAAAAAAAAAAAAAAAAAAAAAAAAAAAAAAAAAAAAAAAAAAAAAAAAAAAAAAAAAAAAAAAAAAAAAAAAAAAAAAAAAAAAAAAAAAAAAAAAAAAAAAAAAAAAAAAAAAAAAAAAAAAAAAAAAAAAAAAAAAAAAAAAAAAAAAAAAAAAAAAAAAAAAAAAAAAAAAAAAAAAAAAAAAAAAAAAAAAAAAAAAAAAAAAAAAAAAAAAAAAAAAAAAAAAAAAAAAAAAAAAAAAAAAAAAAAAAAAAAAAAAAAAAAAAAAAAAAAAAAAAAAAAAAAAAAAAAAAAAAAAAAAAAAAAAAAAAAAAAAAAAAAAAAAAAAAAAAAAAAAAAAAAAAAAAAAAAAAAAAAAAAAAAAAAAAAAAAAAAAAAAAAAAAAAAAAAAAAAAAAAAAAAAAAAAAAAAAAAAAAAAAAAAAAAAAAAAAAAAAAAAAAAAAAAAAAAAAAAAAAAAAAAAAAAAAAAAAAAAAAAAAAAAAAAAAAAAAAAAAAAAAAAAAAAAAAAAAAAAAAAAAAAAAAAAAAAAAAAAAAAAAAAAAAAAAAAAAAAAAAAAAAAAAAAAAAAAAAAAAAAAAAAAAAAAAAAAAAAAAAAAAAAAAAAAAAAAAAAAAAAAAAAAAAAAAAAAAAAAAAAAAAAAAAAAAAAAAAAAAAAAAAAAAAAAAAAAAAAAAAAAAAAAAAAAAAAAAAAAAAAAAAAAAAAAAAAAAAAAAAAAAAAAAAAAAAAAAAAAAAAAAAAAAAAAAAAAAAAAAAAAAAAAAAAAAAAAAAAAAAAAAAAAAAAAAAAAAAAAAAAAAAAAAAAAAAAAAAAAAAAAAAAAAAAAAAAAAAAAAAAAAAAAAAAAAAAAAAAAAAAAAAAAAAAAAAAAAAAAAAAAAAAAAAAAAAAAAAAAAAAAAAAAAAAAAAAAAAAAAAAAAAAAAAAAAAAAAAAAAAAAAAAAAAAAAAAAAAAAAAAAAAAAAAAAAAAAAAAAAAAAAAAAAAAAAAAAAAAAAAAAAAAAAAAAAAAAAAAAAAAAAAAAAAAAAAAAAAAAAAAAAAAAAAAAAAAAAAAAAAAAAAAAAAAAAAAAAAAAAAAAAAAAAAAAAAAAAAAAAAAAAAAAAAAAAAAAAAAAAAAAAAAAAAAAAAAAAAAAAAAAAAAAAAAAAAAAAAAAAAAAAAAAAAAAAAAAAAAAAAAAAAAAAAAAAAAAAAAAAAAAAAAAAAAAAAAAAAAAAAAAAAAAAAAAAAAAAAAAAAAAAAAAAAAAAAAAAAAAAAAAAAAAAAAAAAAAAAAAAAAAAAAAAAAAAAAAAAAAAAAAAAAAAAAAAAAAAAAAAAAAAAAAAAAAAAAAAAAAAAAAAAAAAAAAAAAAAAAAAAAAAAAAAAAAAAAAAAAAAAAAAAAAAAAAAAAAAAAAAAAAAAAAAAAAAAAAAAAAAAAAAAAAAAAAAAAAAAAAAAAAAAAAAAAAAAAAAAAAAAAAAAAAAAAAAAAAAAAAAAAAAAAAAAAAAAAAAAAAAAAAAAAAAAAAAAAAAAAAAAAAAAAAAAAAAAAAAAAAAAAAAAAAAAAAAAAAAAAAAAAAAAAAAAAAAAAAAAAAAAAAAAAAAAAAAAAAAAAAAAAAAAAAAAAAAAAAAAAAAAAAAAAAAAAAAAAAAAAAAAAAAAAAAAAAAAAAAAAAAAAAAAAAAAAAAAAAAAAAAAAAAAAAAAAAAAAAAAAAAAAAAAAAAAAAAAAAAAAAAAAAAAAAAAAAAAAAAAAAAAAAAAAAAAAAAAAAAAAAAAAAAAAAAAAAAAAAAAAAAAAAAAAAAAAAAAAAAAAAAAAAAAAAAAAAAAAAAAAAAAAAAAAAAAAAAAAAAAAAAAAAAAAAAAAAAAAAAAAAAACATATCGACATTCGGCGATTTCGGGTACACGAGGAGACAAGTTTTCCATTATTCGATCGACATTTCTTACCTGGTAATCCTAAATTTTCGCAAATGGCGCGAAAGCATGTTCTTTTCAGTACCTTTCGTGATATTCTTTAATAGTTTGGCTATAAATTGGTTCGTACGATTAGATTAGTGAAATTAAACTTCGTGTCCTGTCAACCGTCTACGAACGACTATCCTCCATTTTTATATTTGTGTTGTAAACAAGAGCTGTACTCACGTGATAAATCTATGCACGCTCATTTGGTTACAGTGAGAGACAGAGAGACTTTTTGTCTCAGTCAAAGCGATTTGAATCCCCCAAAACTGCTTTCCGACTGACCGGGAGACATGTTTTTCTGTCACCTGGCGACATAAATAAAATAAAATCGCCTAGTGTATCAAGGCTTTTAGCATTCACTTATACGGTATATACAAATAACGAGGTTCTGGATGCAAACCTTCCTTCTCTTTTGATATGCGAACTTTTTTTTAATATAAAACACAGTAACCTCTCGATAACTCGAAGAGGAAGTGACAAGAAAATCTTCGAGTTATGGAAAGTACCATTATTTTAATAAGATCGTAAATATTACAATACAAACAATGTGGTTAGACTTAAAGACATTATCTTTTATAAGATTACTTTTTAGATACTTATATGTACAAAAATAGCAAAAACATTGATAGTATTAGTGATAAAAGTATATTACAAGAGTTTGTTGTTAATGATTCATTTCATGTTCAATAATGTTCTTGACACTGTCGACAGCCACGAAAGCATCTTGTTTCCTGAATGCCCGGTAAATGCTCAAGAATTTTTCTGGCTTCCCTATATACAGCGAGAACAGATTAAGAAAAACTCGTAAAATACTTTTTTTTTACTGAATTACTATTAATATTTTAATAATTACGTATTAGCTACAAAAGTAAGTAACGACAAAATGTAAATAATACATTAATTTTTTACATTAAGATATTATTAAAAATAAGCTATAGAAAAGTAATAATACATCAAAAAAGTTATCTAATACTCAAAAAATAATAAATAAAATTAAAATGGAGATAAGAAAAATACAGTAAATGCTTTCCATAAAATTTAACGTCGGAAGCGCCATCTGGTACCGATCGGCTTTAGAAATTGAAATAACGGGAGTGCAGAAGGGGAGATTTTTTTCCAGTTATAATGTTTGATCAGTCAGAAAACGTCGATCATAATATTAAATATAAGTAAAAATCCTTATGAATAATGTCTTACTTTACGTTTCATCCCAGAACGGGAAGTATGGTATTGTTAAGCAACGAAAATCGCACTGCACTCAGACATCATCCGTATCAAGAGTTCAATAATGGTTTAGTTATGAGTAATGAACCTTTAAAAGATAATCAACTGTTTGAAGTTCGCATTGATAGAAAGGTAAACTCTATCGAGATACACGTGCTTCGTGCATATTGACACAATAAAATCATCTTTACCTGTAAACAGTTCTCCTTACCACAATGTTTGAGTAGAAAATTAATAATAATTTAATAACTTAAAAATCATAGATTGTTGCACTCATAAATTATGCATTTAATATTGTTTAATGCTTATAAGTTACATTTAATAAGAAATTTTAAGAAAAAAAAAAGACTCAATATTGCATTAAGAAGCTTGGAGGATGCAATATTTTGAATTTTTTAGATTTTGTTGAATTGTATGTTGTATTTTGGAATAGAAGAACGTTGTGATTTTTTATATGGTATGCTACTATTCAAAATTTGCATCTCTTGCATGTTGTGTTATAAGGTTTACACCATCTTTTAAATTATCAATCTTGACATTGATAATTTAAAGTAAGAAATCTTGTTTATAAAATTACATTTATAATGAAACTTCTGTGTATTTTCTGTTAAAACAAAATAATTTTAAATGCGCTTCAGATTTTTCAGAATGTAAATCTAAATTATCGAACATACCATTTAATAAAATATCGAGTTAAGGTTTAAGTTTAAAATATGTAAAATACAAAAACAAAAATTGTAAATTTTAAGATATTTACAAAAATCTGAGTGAGTTAAAATAATTATAAGTTCAATGTCTTTCAGTTACTTATTGCACGATACTATATTATGTCATACAAAATTGATCACTTGAAAAAATATAATTTTCTTCAATAATTTTACATTTTGATTAATTTCAGACAATATCTTTAAGCATTATCAGATTTTTGTGCTATTTTAAAAACTAGATTTTCAAATAAAGTGTATTGCACTCGTTACATGCAATTTTTAATAATGTTTAAATATAAATATTATTATTTTAAATTTAAAAATATTTANTTTTAATTTAAATAAATAAATAAATATAAAATTTGGTTATAATAACAAATTTAAAATTTATTACTGAAAATATTCTTAAAAATTATCTTTATCTTTGATTTTTTTAACATTAAATGAAAGATGAAGTTAAAAGATATATTTTTTGTTTCACTTATTTATTTATTTAATTAATGCTGAAATTAATTACTTATAGTGGAATATGAATTTATGATTACAAATTTCAATAGAAAATTATGATGAAGCAATTAACTGTGGTCAATTTCTTGAACATTTAATTACATTTTATTAGACTTCATATTCACAATGAAATTTGATGTTTGTGACAGAACAATGTATGTTTAATAGTTCTCACATTTTAGGTTTTGATCCTTAAAAACTGCTACAAATACAAGAAATATACTATTAAATATACATAAACATTTCTTCTAATCATACAGATCTGTATACTTTTATAAAGGCTATGAATCTACACTGGTGAAAGACTTATTTTTATTTCTGATGTTAAAATTGGTCTGGTGAATGAAAATTTTGAGAACAATTTTTTAAAATAAAATTATTTATGTAATTATTTATAATCTGGACAGATAGTCATGTGTCTTAGTATTTGTTTATTGAAAGTAAATTATCTGTTATAGTTTCTAATGCAGTGAACACTTATTAAGTTAGTTTGTTTTAATCTAGTTAGTTTAGGTTATTAATGTTACATTGCTCAAATCTAGTTCTAAACCAGTGCTGTAGCATACTGTTTGATAAGTATATTCAACTTGCTTTAGTAATGATTCTCAACCAGTATGTTGCAGCATACCAGTTGAGAATGACTGCTCTAACAAATACAAAATCATTTTTAAAATAATCTTTGTACCACTTTTAAATGATTTTATTTTTCAAAAATGTTAAAATAATGTGAACTGTTTTTTAAAGTTTATTAAATTCTTAGAATACGATCCTATAATTCATTACAACAACGAATTATCCGAGTGATCCAACTCATGGGCGGTCATTCCAAATATATAGAGTCATCCCACATTATCTGGTTGCCCTTGCTGGCTTGTCGGAACAAACTAGGAATATGGGAAAAAAAAAGCTTATTTTNCGTGACGATTTTTTCTAGTTTTGTACATTCTCCAAAAACTGAATAACCATAAACGAATATTTTCTTGTTAACCCTTAAATTATAGGATTTGCCACTCTGCCAGATTCGTTAGAAGTCTTTAGAATTTGACAAAAATTTTTAAATTCTTTCGTCTTCCTGTTTGAGATCTTTTCCCCCGCTTTTAGCCAACAATATGATTGTCATATGGGGTGTATAATATTAGATCGAGGATTAGTTAAGATGTTCTTGAAAGTGGTTTTCAAGAACATCTTAACTAAGGAACACAATGCTAAGGAAAAATACAGGAGGACTTTTGAAGGGGTCAGAATAATGTTTATTTCTTCCATCAAAATCCCAATTTCGCTTACTTTGTAAACTGGTTTGCCCACTCTGACTTTTAAGAAGAAACGTTTTAGAAAATCAATTATAACTGTTTTTGGGAGAAATAAGCTCAAAATCGTAAGTTTTAGTTGACAAATATGTTCGAGATTTTTTTATTACTATGTTCTCAGATATTCTCTACTATTCCATTAGGGATATCGTGTTTAATCATCCAACATCAAATACATGGATGTACGAGTCTGGGAAGCAGGGTCAATTTTCCTCCCAAATTCAAGCAAAACAGCAGAGAAAATTCGAGCAATGCAAGAACGAAAACACAAAATCAGAAAATGGAAAAAAAATGTGAAGAAACTACTGATGGCAAATTAAACAATTGGTACTTGTTTTTATTTCTGTAAAATTTCGGACAAATCAATGTCTACCATCCTTAATCAAAGTACTCCATACGTCCAAGTTAGTATGGTTCAATGAAGATTAAATTGTCGATTTTGCTTTTTTAGTACAGCTATAAGGAATGCACGTTCCACGGCTATCTTATATCCCCGAATCAATTCCAGAAATTCATAAGTGTAATTATAACACATTAAATGTAGCAGAGCATTAGTGAAGCCTCTTCTATGTGGTTTATAGAATTGAGTTCATTCTCAAAATTTGATAGGCTGATTTTGATAAAACTTTGCTATTTTCTATTCAAATAATCCAAAAATGTAATAAAAATGGGGGTCCATAAATTCCTTTCTAGATACAATGAGGTTAAAGTGCAATGTCCACGCTCCTTAACGCGATTGAGCGTTCTAACGAAATTTAGGGTTAAAAATGAAAAAAGCAAAAAAAAAAACAAAACAAAAAAAAACAAAAAAAAAACAGCAACAAAACACAATTTAGTGCTTTAAAATATCGTAATATTTTTTATATACATCAATAAATCATTTGATTATTATTCGTTTTCTGTAGATATCTTCCTAATTACAATTAAAATCAACCACAAATTCAAAATATTGGTGTTTATAATAAAATTATTCAATAATATCTGTAATAACTCTGATAGAAACGGAAATTATAATTAAAATAATTTTCTTTAATTTATAGGTTCCAACTTGGAGTGGTTCTATAGAAATAGGTGTTACGTCTCTTGATCCAAATGCTTTGGATTTCCCATCCAGTGCAACAAACTTGAGAGAGAGTTCATGGGTGATGTCAGGAACATCTGTTCTTCAGGATGGAAGATCTCTAGTTGAAGAATATGGTGAAGATTTAGATAAATTGGGAGAGGGTGATCGTGTTGGCGTGATGAGAACAAGTAATGGGGAACTTCATTTTTTTGTAAACGGAATCGATCAAGGGATAGCAGCTGGAAATATTAATCCAAGAGTGTATGCTGTAGTTGACATGTATGGAAAATGTGCCCAGGTGTCAGTGTTGAGTAGTCGAGAAGCACGTGAGTATAAATAAATTGAATAGATTTGTGTAAAATTAATATTAGATTATGAAATATATAATTATTCTGTAGATATTTTAGCCAATGAAAGAAGCAATGAAAATATAGCAGCTGCATATGCTCAAGGAAATTTGAATTCAGATAAACTTAAATTTCATGAACGTTGTGGTTCTATGATTAAATTGTCAAATAGTAATCGAACAGCAGAAAGAAAGAGGCCAGTTGACGAATTTAATAATGGAGTAGTGATGACACACAGACCTTTAATAGATAATGAATTATTTGAGGTAAATTAATTAATTTTTTTAATATTTTTATTATAGTTGTTGTTATTACATATTACATTTATCTTAATAAAATTATATAAACAGTCATATTTGTAAAATTAAATTATAACTTCTAACATAAATAAAATCATATAATTTATAGATTCAAATTGATGAGTTAGTTAATAAATGGTCTGGATCAATTGAAATGGGAATTACTACACACAACCCTGATAATCTAGATTTTCCAGCTACTATGACCAATATGAGATCTGGTAATTGCAGTTTAATTTTTTAAAATAAATTTTAAAATTTTATAAATGAAAATTAAGTATATTTTTTAAAAACAATTTACATATTACATAATGTAATTCACTTTCATCATTCTATAGTATTCAACCATTCTTCAGGTACTATCATGATGAGTGGTTGTGGGATTTTAATTAATGGAAAAGGAAGCAGAAGGGAATATGGTGAATTTAATTTGGATGAGTTACATGTGAGTGTGTTTTCTTCTATGAAAATTAATTTCTTAATAATAGTACATACATATATTTTTAACTGAAGCTTGTTAAATAAATTGCTTTACAAGTGTTAAATGATCTTAAGACTTCACCAAAGAATGCATGTATTCTCATCTGAAATAATAAAGAAACAACATTTTTAAGAAGTCTGAATTTTATATATTTTATTTTTCCAAAGCAACTTGACTCCAATGTCAGCATATATTCAGTTCAGAAAAGAATGAGCATTTTTAGAGAGCAGGTTGTTTCAGAAACATTAAATAACTAAACTTTGGACTTCTGAAAAGACAGATTTGTTTTTTTGTTAATTTTTTATATGTTACTGTGAATGACCGATATCTGGCGAATGTCAACATTCTCCGGTGAATGTCAGCATTCACACAGTCGTTTCGTATATGTAAAAAATATTTGCTAAATATCGTTATTTCTCACTTACACCGGCAAATGTCGACATTCAGCATGCACTGATGGTGAATGTTGAATAAAAGTATGTTTATTACATTAAGACAAAAATGCAACTTTTTAATATGTCAAAATAGGAAAAAGCTTAAGTAACAGCACTTGTAAATAAACTGTTGAACCTAAACAGTACATTCTAAATCATTAATGAAAATAATACAATAATAAACTTACACATAAATTATGTGATTAACATTATACAATCTTATTTATTGCAACAACTTAAACTGTTATGGCACTTTGAATTGCACAAAAGTCCCTTACTTTTACAACTGCATTTATTTGTAGAACACTTCTTTTTGCAATGACAGTGTGTATAGCCTTGCCCTCCACTTTTCGAATTAGCTGCAGCTGCTTCTCTCAGTGATATTTCTTCTCAAGAAATATCATCTATGGAAAGTAACTTTTCTTTACAAATTATGAACTCATTACAGGTATAAAGCTGCTTGAGGGTACCATTTTTGTTTGTTAATTTATAAAAGTCAGAGTCTTCTATTCCAACAACAACCGCCAACACATTTCGGGCATCTGTATGGCCACGGTCAACATCAGGGACTTGTATTTGTACGGTATCGCCAATTTGAACAGAAGGAAAGGGCGAAGAATTTGGCAACAGACTGTCGCCTTTCTGTTGACATTGGTTTCTCGGGTGTCGTTTCGACCTCCACCAAAACTTATCTGTGCTTGTCGACATACACTGGTGATTGTTTGAATGTATAATAATATAACCAAATATTCGGTCTTTCACCAACGTATTTTGTATGTGTCAACATTTACTGGAGAATATAGACATTCTCTAATTTCGGTCTTTCACAGTAACATATATATGTTAAAAGTTTGCAACTACAGTGGAACCTCACTTAACAAGCATAATTCATTCCAAAATCTTACTCATAATGTAAAACACTCATTAAGCGAAACAATTTTTCCCATATAAATTAATGTAAAATATGATAGTGCATTCCATGCCGAAAAAAATACTCAAATCTTTTATGCATAACATTTATTCAAAGAAACTTATACAATATACATTGTTAAAGAGCATGAATCATCATCATCTTTTCTTCTAGTATGGAATGAACCAACCTGGAATGCAAATTCAATTTGCAGAAAACAAAATAAAATTGAAAAGATATGTCTCATAAACAGCCAAATGATATGCTAAATTCTTGGACTATGTAAAGGCTATAATTAAATATTAGAAATTGATTAATTTGACTAGAGGTAGGCAGTTATGCTTCCCTCTTGTATTAAATTTAACAAGTAAAATGGCAAAGCTGTATTTGGGACAAGACTATGTCTCAGAGACTCACTACTAAGCGGAATCACTTTGACGTTCAAACGGGTCTTGTTCTCATTCTCCAATCTTCTTCAGTATCGCTGGTTTTGAGCGCGATCATTCAGACTTTGCCGGCCATGTCCACGAGGTCATCCACGATGCATTTTCAGTGAAATTAACCTATCTATGTCGAAATTTCTTTCCGTTGCATGTCAGCCTGGGTTGAATTTTTGTTGATGACTAACGAAAATTTCCTGTTTTTGAAAAAAATAATAGTGGCTATTGTATTGTCTGAAATTATTTTTTTATTTTGCATAAACTATATACAGTTTAACTGATTATAATGTCATCAGATGTAACTAAAAATCTGTACGTGGCACGTTCTACCTTGTCTGTGAAGTCCACGTCTTTTGTTCTGCTGGTAAAAATTGAGAAATAATCCAGGCAAATAATTTACTTAATTTGGATCAGCTATGCGATATTTACAATAATGTCAAGATATAATACAAATCCAAGATTGGCATGGCTGTTGACTCGAAAGGTTAATTAATGTGAAGTGAAAAGATGTCTCTTCTACCTTGTCTGTGATGTCCATGTTGACCTTGACCATGTGTTCTGCGTCTTTTGTTCTGTCAGTAAATATTAACTGAGAAACTGATAATTTTTTACTTTATTTGTATCGGCTACGCCAGTGGTTCCCAATTAGTTTTTCCTGCATACCACTTCAAGAAAGCACTCAAACTCGCGTACCCCTTATAGCAGAAATTCATATTAATTCATACTAATATTATAAATTCGAAGGTAATTCTGTCTGTCTGTTACCTTTTCACGTCTAAACCGCTGAACAGTTTTAAATAAAATTGGGCACAGAGATAGCTTACATGTTGGAGATGGACATAGGCTACATTTTACTGCGAGAAAATATCTTATTCTCACGAGAAAATTCGATATAATGCGGGAGAAGCTGTGGTTAGACAGCTAGTGATAAATAGAATAA